ACCACTTGAGCCACAGCGCCACTTCCGGCTTTTTTCTTTTTGCTTATGTGGTGCTGAGGAATCGAACCCAGGGCCTCAGGCATGCAAGGCAAGTGTTCTACCACTGAGCCACCTTCCCAGCCCCTGTTTTTTCAAAACTTCTATAGGTGACTTGAAAATTTACAATTTTTTTAAGCTATATCAACTTAAAAGTTTACTGCATTGCATTACTGCCAATACAGGACAAAAGATTGGGCACATAATTTAAACAGATGATAGCAGCCAACACACAGAACAAAGATCATTCGGCAATAAATTGTTTTCCTTCTTGTAATTTTAAGAGCTTTGAGGGGATTATATGCACAACCCCATTTCTTTTTAAAAAAGTTGTCCAAAGGGGGTTGGAAGATGGTTCACTGGTAGAGTGCTTGCCTTACATTTGCACAAGGGCCTGGGTTCGATTCCTCAGCACCACATAAACAGAAAAGGCCGGAAGTGGCACTGTGGCTCAAATGGTAGAGCACTAACCTTGAGCTGAAGAGCTGAGGGACAGCGCCCAGGCCCAGAGGCCCAGGCCCGAGGACCAGGAAAAAAGTAAAAATAGCTGCCCAAGTAACTATTCAAAAATCAGCTATCTATATGTTCCCCTCACAAAGGGGAGTAGCACCTATTTAACTGGAAGAATTTCAAAATAAAACAATAAAAACCTAGTTAATCTATGCAGTTGTTTAGATCTGTGGTGCAACAATGAGACGTATAAGTTGTTATGCTGAAAACAAAGTTTACAACTTTGGTGGGGGAGGGAGAGGGGGGAGGATGGGAAGGGATGGGAAGGGGAAACAAAGGAGGAGGCTACAATGCTTGATAAGAAATGTACTCATTGTCTTGCCCATGGAATTGTAACCCCTCTGTACAGTATTTTCACAATAAAAAACAAACAAACATCTATACAGGGAAGAACATGCTTTTACGGGCATTCTCAAACAAGTTTGCAATCCTCTTCCTTGGCCACTAGATGGAGTACTTGAGGCTAAAGTGTGTTTCAAGGTTTTTAGTGGCCCATCTAGTAATAGTACCAAATTAACAGAAAAGTATTAGAAAACAAAAAATGGCAACAGCCTAAAAAGTTAATTTTAATTTAAAAGACAAAGGTGAATTAATTTTTAGCAGTCTAAGTATGTCCCAAAACCCTACAGATTTCCACCAATATAATAGCTATTTTCTGATTACACACTATTGTGAAAGCTCTCTTCAGCTTAATTTTACATTGTAGGAATGTTAATGATATACTCTGATGGAATGATTTTTTTTTTTAATTTAAAAACTCAATTGGGGCTGGGAAGGTGGCTCAGTGGTAGAGTGCTTGCTTTGCATGCATGAGGCCCAGGATTCAATTACTCATAACCACATAAGCAGAAAAGGCCATAAGTGGAGAGGTGGCTCAAGTGGTAGAGTGCTCACCTTGAGCTGAAGAGCACAGGGACAGCACCCAGGCCCAGAGTTCAAGCCCCATGACCGACAAAAAAGAATAAAAATAAAAAATAAAAGCTCTCTTAAAGGGGCTGGGAATGTAGTTTATGAAGCCCTGGGTTCCATTCCTCAATACCACATATACAGAAAAAGCAGGAAGTGGCACTGTGGCTCAAGTGGTAGAGTACTTGCCCTGAGCAAAAGAAGCTCAGGGACAGTGTCCAGGTCCTGAGTTGAAGCCCCAGGACTGGCAAAAAAAAAACTCTTTTAAAAATGACTTAGATGAATACAGTATGTTACCATGAAATTACTTACAGCATCCTTTTTTGTCCACATATGTTTTCCTGTTGTACAACCTTCTTGAGCCAAAAATGTGTTAAAATCAGATGTTTTCCTCCTACAACAGCTCCAATATTTCATCCTTTAACAGAAGAAAGATTTCACAATCAATGAAGTCCAGAACTATTATAGTGACAAATGATTTTAATAAACCAAGTCACTCATATGACTCGAAATATAGTCCTTACAAGTATTACATTATTAAAGTGTTCCAGATATATATTATATATATTATCAGGAAGACTAATTTAAAATTGAGGGTGTTTTATACTGATTGTGTAATCCAAAATTACATTTACTCAGTAATTCTGAGTAAAAGCAATCAAAAACTGAAAAAATTTAAGTCTGCTTTCCACTGAAAACCCACACTCTGGAGCAAAAGCAATCTTCACATTTTAATAACACATTGAAAAACAGATAAACAAATTGAAAAGCAATGTCTCCAAATAAGTAAAAACCATTATTAATTTGTGCAGAAAAATACAAACACAACAAGTTAAGAGTCACAACAGAACTACAAGTTTAAAACCTGAATCATGAAGTGGCTCTGACTCAAGTGGTAGAATGCTAGCCTTGAGTACAGAGGCTCAGGGACAGCACCAGGCCCAACTTCAAGTCCCACAACCAACCAAAAATAAAAAAGACCTGAAGCATATGAAAACAAAAAACTTTAACATAATACTGTGTCAATGAGCTATAATTTAATGTACAAGATAAGCTCTCAACCAAGGACTGAGGAAAAGAATGGGATTCCTTGAATAAACAGTCCCGTAACAGTACTAAATGTCTGACAATACAACAGGATATATTTTCCAAGAAAAGTGAATTTAGACTATACATATACTGCTGTATATACCTGCAATCACAGGGAGCTAAATCATGAGAATTGTATCTACACAACTTAGTGAGATCCTGCATCAAAAAAAAAACAGAACGATTGAAAAATACTGGATTGGGCTAACTGCAACTTTGTGTTTTCATGTGTTAAGATGAATCCAATTTTTAGGTTATTTTAGTGATTAAATGGGAATGTAGGTAAAATTCTATGTAACATTTCATTGTAAATAACTAAAAATAAAGGTTCATCATTTCTAACTTTTACCATAAAGTAAATTTGTCATGCATAAATTACCCCTCATGGAATATAGGTACTCCAGAATGATATACACAGACTTCTTCTAGACTTTGCAGACCCTGATATGTCTAAAAGAAAAAAATATAAAGCAAAAGGAATTAACTGGTTATCACTCAATTACATCTCAGACATATAGTACTATGAACTTTGTCAAACATGCAAGAAATAACAAGAATCATATTTAACAGTGGTTAAGTTCCTTCCAAGGAGCTTTCATTCCGTTAAGGAATGAAAAAAATTACCTATTGTAAGACATGATTAAATTTTAGGTCCCTATGAGAGAAACTAGTAGAAAAGTATACAACAAAGTATATTAAGATTCTTTCAGCCGGGCGCTGGTGGCTCACGCCTGTGTTAATCCTAGCTACTCAGGAGGCTGAGATCTGAGGATCACGGTTCAAAGCCAGCCCCGGCAGGAGAGACCGTGAGACTCTTATCTCCAATAAACCACCAGAAAACCAGAAGTGGCGCCGTAGCTCAAGTGGTAGAGCGCTCGCCTTGAGCTGAAGAGCTGAGGGACAGCGCCCAGGCCCAGAGATCAAGCCCCACGACCGACAAAAAAAAAAAAAAGATTTTTTTCAGCCTTTGGAGTATGATCCTATCCAGCCACATTTGGGTATTTAATATCAGTTAATTTAAGTATTAAGTCCAACATATCTGGAAATTTTAGAATGATGATTTTTTTAATCCCTACAACTGGTCAAACAAGTGGCAGAACTATATGCATACCCATAGTTTTTCTGGAAGATATGGGTCCTACAGCTGCTGTAGGTGAAGACTCTACAGATAAATTCATAAAAATGTTAACAAAACATGGGTGCAGCTGGTAGCACACTGTCTTTCAATTTTTGTATTCATATTACAACAAGTACAAAAAATAAGATTTGGTATAAGTCTCCCTACTGCCCCAACTCTATTCCTCTTATCTTTTTGGAGTTGATGAGACCACATCTAATCTTCCAAATCTCTGAAGCAAAATTCTGAAGGTCCATTTCAGTTTCTTCTCTCTTCCTAACATATAGTCTACTATGTAGAAAATTAACTACTTCCAATGAATTTGACCTGCAAATATTTATTAGTTTAGTTTCTCTTCCTCATAAAGTAGATTTCAGGTGATCAGACTGTACTGTTGTCTACCAAGTCATTCTCCACCCCTTCATTTCTTTCCCTTACCATCTTATTAGTTTCAAATTACAGCAACAATCTTGGTATGTACCATGCACTTCCTACAAAAATCAATTCCACATGTTTTGAATATCTAAATCTGCCTCTTAACAGAAAAATGTTACTCTAAGGGAAAATATTCATAGCCCTGAAGTATTTGTGAAATTAGACATAGAACAGTACTACTCATAAGAGACGGACAAACCATGTTTTGTGAAAATTATAAATGACTTCTGTTTATCAAAGGATAATGAAAAGGCACAGTACTTTGGCAAAAGACTAAAAATAAAGGTAAGAGATTGTACACATTTCACTAGTAAAGCTGGATAGTAAACATTAAAACAGGTACACAACATTACTACTAGGAAAGTATAAATTATAACCATACTATACACTTTAAGTAAGGCTTAACTTCCCAGTATTAAAGAGTGTACCTGTTACTATGTCCTTTAATTTGATGCAACCAGATTTAGTTATCATTCTTAACTATTTTTAATACTACTTACTACTCATCTCATTTCCACTAGTTATGTCCTCTTTATTTGTCCTCTTTATTTTTCTTTCCATGTTCAGAACTGTTATAACTGTCCAAAACTCGATAGTGTCTCCATTACTCTCTCATTTACACTAACTTTCTCATTTCAAATTAGCATTCCCATTTTGTTACTGCTGCTGCTGTTTTGTTTTGTTTTTGTCAGTCATGGGGCCTGAACTCTGGGCCTGGGTGCTGTCTCTCAGCTCTTCAGCTCAAGGCTAGTGCCCTACCACTTGAGCCATAGTACCACCTGGCTTTTTCTGCTCATGTGGTGCTGAGGAATAGAACCCAGGGCCTCATACATGCAAGGCAAGCACTCTACCACTGAGCTACCTTCCCAGCCACCCCTACCCCTACCTCCACCCCTGCTGCTGGCTTTTATATTACTGGGATCTTGAATTCCAGGCCTCAAGCTGTTGCTGGGGTTTCTTTGCTCATGCCTGATGCTTTACTAATTGAGCTATGCCTCCAGTTCAATCATTGCATTTTATTCACTACCTCTACCTCATGTACATGTGAATATACTTACATTTTAATTTCATAATAAGTGATCTCAAACTTAACAGAAAACCTAAAATCCCACCCAACTTTTACTTTCTCAGTTTATGGCATCACCATAATGAAGAAATATAATCCATAAAGCAAGTATTGCCAATACTTTCCAAATACTTATTCTACATGGATTTGCTATGTGCTAGGTACTGGACTACCATTCAAAGCTAAAACTAAGAATAAAGCAAAACCTACTATTTCAAATCTTTCCATGGAGGCAATCACAAAGTGAATAGATGATACCAAAATAAGTCAACAGTGCCACTGAGGGGAAAAAAAGGAGAGGAGAAATAGAGGGTATGTAAACAAGAGAAAGTCTGATCAACATGTTAAATTGGGTGTAGCAGAAAGATCAAGAATGAAGAGAACATGAGAACTATAAAGTAAATTAAAAGGCCAGTCTAAGCTACACAGTGAAACCCTGAATCAAAATAAGTACGTAACCTCAAACACTTCTACCTAAAACAGGTAATGGCTTACTATTACATTTAGAAGAGTCTAAATCGCTCTTCATCGTTACAATATCTCCATAAGCTGGTCTATTTCTTTACCCAGTAGTTTGCTCTTGTTCAAGTTTTTCTGACCCAGTATTCTTTGAACATCCCATCTCTAAAGCCTCTAATCATGTTGTTCCCCTCTATCCATAGCTCTCTTCCCAAGATTTAACAACTCATTTTCTACATTATTCAGAATCCTGATTTAGTGTCACCACATGAAAAGAACTTCACTGACAATCTTAACGACACAAGTTCCTTAGTCTGCTTTATAGACATGTCTAACAATTTCTAACATCTATTTGCCTATTTGTAACTTCCCACAAGAACAATGTTCTAGTATCTAAAACAATGTGTAGTACATGCTAAATGCTCATGCTCAAATTATATTCTATAATTGTATTAGACTGTTTTTGTTCAGTCCCTAATCCAAGTTTGTAATCTCAGCTGTCAGTATAATGCCCAAGATATAACACACAATTGTTTGCTAAAATGGTAGTGAATACTTCTTTGCTTTAAAATAGTTTCAGTGCAATTTTATCTGTGTAATCCTAGCTATTCAGGAGGTTACAGTCTGAGGATCAAGGTTTGAAGACAGCTCAGGAAGGAATAGTCCTTAAGACTTATCTCTATTAGCAAGCAAAAAACAGAGGTGGTAGTATGGTTCAAGTAGGAGAGCACAGCCTTGAGCAAAAATGCTAGGGAGAGTGCCTGGGCTCTGATTTCAAGCCCCAGCACTGGCACCAAAAAAACAAAAGTTTTATTTCATAACATCACAGATTTAGAATACATACCTTTGAACACCCTCCATTTTTACATGAAGTCCCAACTTTAATTTCATCACCATCTTCTTCTAAAATAAAAAATAATTATTTTACCACTGTCATTTGTAAAAAAGGTAAACAAATTAAAATATTAAAATAGAATTTCACTGTAGTACCATTCTTTTTTTTTTGCTAGTCATGGGGCCTAAACTCTGGGCCTGGGCACTGTCCCTTAGCAATTCAGCTCAAGGCGAGCACTCTACCACTTGAGCCACAGCACCACTTCTGGCTTTTTCTGCCTATGTGGTGCTGAGGAATTGAACCCAGGGCCTCATTCATATATGGCAAGCACTCTACCACTGAGCCACCTTCCCAGCCCAGAAGTACCATTCTTAAATAGTAATATGTCATATTTTCAAAATGTCATATTAAAAAAAAACTTTAGGTTTTATTAAGATCACCAAAATTACGTAAGAGCTAATTATATAATGTACTATCTTTATTTTGCTAAAAGAGAAATCATGAAATAATTTTTGCCTCCTCATTAGGCATAGGTCAGAAAAAAATTAAAGATACTTAATATTAATAAACATTTTCAATTATCAAAGAAATTTAAATGTTATTCTCATATTCAATAAAAATTGAACAGAAAGAATCACATATTCATTTTGTGGAATTATTTACACTTAAGAAAAGTCAACTCAGTGGGGTGCTGGTGGCTCATGCCAGTAATCCTAGCTACTCAGGAGGCTGAGATCTGAGGGTTGCGGCACAAAGACAGCCCGGGCAGGAAAGTCCGTGAAACTCTAATCTCCAATAAACCACCAGAAAACCAGAAGTGGAGCTGTAGCTCAAGTGGTAGATCACTAGCCTTGAGCTGAAGAGCTGAGGGACAGTGTTCAGGCCCAGAGTTCAAGCCCCCACGACCGACAAAAAAAACAAAACAGAAAAGTCAACTCAGCAGGGCACAGGTGGCTCACGCCTGTAATCCTAGCTACTCAGGAAGCTGAAATCTGAGGATCCAGGTTCAAAGCCAGTCTGGGCAGGAAAATCCGTGAAACTCTTATCTCCAATAAACCACCAGAAAAGCTGTAGCTCAAGTGGTAGAGCGTTCATCTTGAGCTGAAGAGCGCAGGGACAGCGCTCATGCCCAGATTTCAAGCCCCATGACCGGCAAAAAAAAAAAAAAAAAGAAGAAGAAGAAAAGTCAACTAATTATTACATGGTGGTATATTTTCAAACATATTTTGCAAACTACTTCTGTGCCTACAATGACTGCTTACATTGTTCAGGAAAAAATAATAAAGCTTACCTTTCTTTTCTTCTTCACTTCCCGATGACAGTTTAAGTTTATCGAGTGCTTGTTTTAGGGAGGCAGAAATTTTTAATTCCAAGTTTGTCATTGGTTCATCTGGGCTGGAGAATTTCAAATCTTATTACCATTTTTATTTAACATATCAAAATGTTTATGCATACTTAAGCTGTAAAATGTGCTTTATGAGAAGTTGTGTATCAAATATTCCTCATGAAAAGCATTTTACAAATAACTGCAATAATTTACCTACACTTAAACTTTTAATAAAGTTTTTACATTAAAATATCTGCCCTCAAGTAGTTATGCCATAGTATATTCAATTATTTATGAACAGGGCTAATAGGATGGAGTAATGGTAGAGGAAATGACCCCAAAAATAACATCTATTCCATGCCCAAGCAAAATGCTGAGACCATAATAGGCAATCTTTAGCTGAGATCTAAGGACTGTGGTTTAAAGCCAGTCTGGGCAGGGAAGTCTGTGAGACCCTTATCTCTACTAAACTACTAAAAAAACCACAAGTAGAGCTGTGGCTCAAGTACTGCAGCAAAAGAAAAGAAGCTCAGGGACAGCATCCAGGCTGAATTTATGCTTATTCTTAGCAGTAGAGACCAATTTACCTATGCATCTTTTACAGATAATTTATTTTATGTTGGCCTATAAAATCAGATATACTGGCAAGGCAATTTCTACAATGATAAAACCTGCTCAGAATGACTGTTTTATATACTGTTTACAGCTACTCATCAAACCAGTATTAAAAGCATTAATAAATGCAGCAATAACATATACCATCTCCTTAGCCACCTGGAAGGCTGAGAGGTAGGAGGCTTCATCAAGTTTGAGGCCAGGCCATGCTACACATCAAGATCCACAGCAGCCTGGACTACATAATGCACAGTCTCAAAAGAGCAAAAAGAAGACAAAATATTTCATTTCCCTCACTGCCTCTAATGTAAAACTATTAGTAACCCTTCATTTAAAAATAGCATCTACTCATATTATTGTTATAGTAGATCCCGCAGAAACATAGAAATGAAGAATAGAGCCAGGGAGCCCTCTCATCTTTATCATACATCTGTGTGTATGTGTGTGCATGTGTATGTATGTGTGTGTGTGTGTGTGTGTGTGTGTATATATATATATATATAATTTTTTTGAATTGACCAGCAAGACACATAGACTAAAATCTTTCTGAGTAGTTTATCTGTACTTCCAAATGTAAATGGGAAACAGGCATCAGGTATCTTAGGGTTCTTATCCTTGTTCTATATTATTTGATAGATGAATTAAAATTTTACTGGGGTTGTGAATTGCTTCTGAGCTATTTAACCAAATTCATAAAGGACAGAGAGCATAAGCCATTTGTTTAAATGCTGCAGTTTGGTTTTAAAACATTTAGTACTCAAGTGCAGTTTACCTTGTGTAATAAACCTAGTACGCATGTAGCAATTTCTTTTTCTTTTAATTTTATTTTATAGTAAGGATGATGAACACAGAGGTTACAGTTAAAAGTAATGAGTATATTTCTTCTTGAACATTGTTGTATGTAGGATTTTCAACATCCTATTTGATCAAAAGGTGATTCTGAACAATCTAATTCTACTTCATAATAAGTAAAAGCTATTTTAAGACTCAGACACTTCACCTAAGCACACAGATTAAAAGCTAACATCAGTAGAACAGTAGTTGTCCAGCATCGTAACAGTAAAGTGATTAGGCCTCTTTTTCAATTCAAACTAACTCCATGAAAAACCAACTTTACCATGCCACAAAATAGATAGGCCTAGCAAAAGAAAGACATGTGACTCAACTCAAATGGAACATGCATCAGTAGTCATAGTGGCATAAGCAAAATGTACAGAGTTCATCAAATTGAGAAGGTATAAATGAAAAGGTTATGTAAGAGAAAAACCAAAGGGTGGCCTATATAGTAGTTACAAATGCTACTAGGCAAATAAAAAAAGGAAACATTAAGAACAACTGCTACTACTCAAGTTTGATGAAATAAGCAATGACATAAAGCATACCTGGGTCTTTTTATTGCTTCTACTGGCTTGGGGGCTTGAATGATGTGTTCCTGAAACCTGGGTTTCAATTCAGATAGTTCTTTCTTCTCAGTAGTCTTTACTTCAGGCTTGACTGGTTCAGGTGGTTTCTCACTATTATGTCTACCTTTAGTACAGCCCTGTTAGTAAAAGATACTAATTATGAAGCATCTACTTCACAGGCCATGAAATATTTTTATTGCATGGACTCATTTTAAGAAATGAAAAACAAAACTCCAAATTTGCTATTATTTGTAAAATAGTTTTTACCTCTCATACTTAAAAAGAAAAAGCCTTCACACATTACTTATATCATTCACAAATTAAGAAGTCCTTGACTTTATAACCCTGGGCAAGATAATGTCTAAGGTGTAGGTAATGACAGTTTTCTTTGTGTGTGTGTGTGTGTGTCAGTTGTGGGGCTTGAACTCTGGGCCTGGGCGCTGTCCCTCAGCTCTTCAACTCAAGGCTAACGCTCTACCACTTGAGCCACAGCACCACTTCTGGTTTTCTGAGTGGTTTATTTGAGATAAGAGTCTCACAGACTTTTCCTGCCCAAGCTGCCTTTGAACCATGATCCTCAAATCTCAGCCTCCTGAGTAGCTAGGATTACAGGCGTAAGCCACCAGGGTTTGGCATGACAGTTTTCTTTCTTAGTGGTATATACAATAATAGTGCATCTCAATGATATCTAAGATTTGATAAGTAATTGCCTACCAGTTCCTTCTTGATGTTTTTTCAAGACTACTAAAATCAAGAACCTAAAATGACAAATGAGTAATTAGTATCTTATAACCTTAGTCTCCCAAACAGACAAATTATTTATTTTAGAGGCTGTAGAAAGTAGGTAAACTCCATTTTAAGGGTAAGGTATTATCTGGTAATGAGGATCCATTAATATATACTACAATTTAATTCAAATCCAGTACTTCCTATAATAGGCATTTTTAAGGAAAATTATCAAGACACAAAACAGTACTTACTACAATGCTTAAGAAATCAGAAAAATCAGTTGTTCTTCTCTTACAGCAAGACCAACCCTATAAAAGGTAAGAAAGAAGCACTGAAAAATTTATCTCCTTAGAAACCATGACCTATATACATCTTGGTAAGTATTTCATAGAATCCTAAAGTAATTTCCATATACAAAATTTCAGTTTGACAATTCTGTACATGGTTATCATAATCAAGTAAAATGATTTTTAGTGTTTGATTTTTAATAATTAGTATCTTATGGATTATTGTCAAAAACACCTTAAAGTAGAAAACCATGAGTAACATTTGATTCCCCCAAAAAACTAGGTTAGATATTATTAAAAAAATATTGTATATTTGAGCTAATGATGCAACTTAGGGGCAGAATACCCTAAACCATCAACAACAAGAAATCATGATCACATACTTAAAGGATCTGGGGAATAAGTGAAGGTGTTTGACTTAGCGGAATGCCAGCCTTACAAGCATGAGGCCCCTTACACCCTAGAACCACCAAAAAAAAAAAAGGAAAAGTAGAGGAAAGATAATAAAAGATAATATTACCTACTGCAGCTCAAACAGTAAACACTCTTATTTTCAGAGCACTAGAGATTACCATAGCAGCCTTCCAGGCATTCAACTTTGAAGTGAAATGATCCTTTCAGCTAGAGACAGAAGGTATAGAAAATGTACTAATATATGTGTAATCTTATTTAACAGAGGGTATCAAATGGTCTATCAAAAATGGCTTTAAATTATCATTTCTAATTCCAATAGGGAACAAGGAAATAGAAATGCAAGAGTCTTCAGGTACCAAACAGATTACGAACTGATCTGTATGTATCTACCTGACCTCTTGTTTCTCTGTCTATTCTATAAAAAAGTATAATCCTGCTGCTTGGTATAATATACACTTTCAGGTTTAATCTCTTTTCTTTTTTAAAAGAAAAGTCTGAATTACAAAACAGTTAATTTTCCTTTTGAAATTTAATTGTATTCTGAATTAAGATGAACCAATTACCACAATCTTAAATATATAGAGGGCTTAAACATCACCCATAATCAAAAATTTTATTCTGGGGACTGGGAAAATAGCTCAGTGGTAGAGTGCTTGCCTTGCATGCAGGAGGCCTTGGGTTCAATTCCTCAGCACCACATGAGCAGAAAAAGTCAGAAGTGGCACTGTGGCTCAAGTTGTAGAAAGTTATGCCTTTAGCTGAAGAGTTGAGGGACAGCGCCCAGGCCCAGAGTTCAGGCCCCACAACTGGCAAAAAAAAAAGTAAAAATTAAAAAAAAAAATTTATTCTAAAGCTGAGCCAGTGGCTCACAACTGTAATCCTAGCTACTCAGGAGGCTGAGATCTGAGGATTGCAGTTCAAAGCCAGCCTGGGCAGGAATGTCCATGAGACTCTTATCATCTCTCATTAACTAACAGAAAACCGGAAGTGGTGCTGTGGCTCAAGTGGTAGATTGCTGGTCTTGCACTGAAGAGCTGAGGGACAGCGCCCAGGCCCAGAGTTCAAGACCCATGACCAACCAAAAAAAAACAAAAAACATACAGACATAGTTATGACAGGTACTGGGACATATCACTGGAAAGCCATCAATACAAACTAGGTGTTTACAAATACCAGTGCATGCCAGTGCCTATCTAGCTATTCAGCACTACAAGAAAAAGGATGTGGGGGGGGGGGGAGGAGGGGGGGGGTTGGGGGGGGGGGGAGGATGGGAAGGGATGAGAAGGGGAAACATGTAATTGTAACCCCTCTGTACAGTATTTTCACAATAAATATATATATATATATATATAAAACAAACAAAAAAAGAAAAGGATAAAATGTAAAATCTGACTATTCTCTTGCTGTCTTTTCTTGAGTAAACTATTCTTTTCTTTGAATAGTCCCCTTCTAATGTTAAAATATTCATTCTTATTAATTTCTTGCTTGGTTAAATAAAACACTGACAATGTAACATTTTATCTGAAATTTAATGAGATATAAAATTCTATAGTTTCTGTGAGGTTAGGCTGACAAAAATATAGAATACAGTAGAACAAATACAGTAGAAGAAAAACATTTTTAGCTACTGTAACGGATTTTTTGGGGAGGAATCTGGTCGTGGGGCCTGAACTCTGGGCCTGGGTGCTGTCCCTCAGCTCTTCAGCTCAAGGCTAGCGCTCTACCACTTGAGCCACATCGCCACTTCCGGCTTTTTTTCTTTTTGCTTATGTAGTGCTGAGGAATTGAACCCAGGGCCTCATGCATACAAGGCAAGCGCTCTAACACTGAGCCACCTTCCCAGACCC